CTTTTTTTTGCTGTGATCCACTGTATGTCTCTTTGTGTATTTAATCCTCTCTTCGACATTTTTATTTCGTTCGTATTGCATAATCGGTTCGTCTGTGCCGAGCTTTCAATTCACTGCTTTCACCAATGCTTTTCATTATATTTACTGTTCTTCCCAACACGTTTTTTTTTTAAATATCATTCCTCCGATCTTTTCTGCATGTCAATAATTTTCATTAATATTGGTGATCAGGACAGAGAATATATCTTGTGATTTTTCAATGACTGCGTTTGTTTTATTACAAATAAATTAAAATAAAACAAGGCGTTGCTTTTATGACTCTGAATTCGTGAGGTATTTTTATTTAATTTTCTTTAAAAAATAAAACCCCTTATTATCAACCTTCTTCGTGTTGCATAATTCTAGGGTAAACAGCTTGCGTAATTACCCAGAATATATCCCAGTTCAGATTATACATCCAGTCCAAAGTCTACCTCTAGCCCAGAGTACATCCCAACCTAGAATATACTCCCAACCCAGAGTATACGCCTAACCCAGTGTATATTACCAACCTAGAATATACTACCAGTCAAGAATGTACCCCTAGACCAGAGTATACGCCCAGAAGAGAGTATATCTCAGCATACAATATGCTCCATTCCCAATTCAGAGTATACGCCTAACACAGTGTATATTACTAACCTAGAATATATTCCTAGTCTCGAATATACTCCTAACCCAGAGTATACGCCAAGAAAAAAGTATACCCCCACCTTGGAAAGTACTCCCTATTCAGAATATTCTCCCAGTACAAAGTATGCCTACAGCTTAGAGCATACCCCCAGCCCACAATATATTTCTAGCACAGAGTATAGCTGAAATTTATAATTTGCACCCAGTTACGTGTATATACCCAGATGGGAGTATACCCTAAACTAGAGTATACATCCAGCCTAAAGTATTCCACCACCACCTAGAATATACCTCAGCTTAAGATATACACAAAGTTCTTATATACACTCGACCTAGAATATACCCCCAGCACATAATACACCCTTAGTACAGACTAAAACCTAGCTTAAAGTATACCCCAGTTTAGAATATATTCCCTATCCTGGGTATACCCCCATCCTAGAATATATTCCCAATCTAGAATATACAGAGAGCCCAAACTATACCTCTAACCAGAGTATATCCCAAACCTAAAATATACTCCCAGACTATGTCTTCAGCCCAGAATAAAATGCTTTCCAGTCCAGAGTATATCCCCAGAAGAGAGTATACTCTCAACCCAGATTAAACACCAGCCTAGAATATTCAAAGGGGTTGCAGTCTTGGGAGTCAGTCGGCCAGATGTTACGGTCGCAGAAAATATTTGACAGCCATACCTGGATTCTCCTGCTTTTGGTGTAGAGACTTGTAAGATTCCTTACACTTATTCTCTTAACCCACCGTCGATCAGGGTTGACCATGGGTAGCATCCTAGTTGTCTGCTTGGCTGGAGCATTGACGTCTGTGTCTGCAGAGGCCGATGCGGGTGCGACAATCTCTGTTGCAGAGGTTGCATATGAGTTCTGTCTCTGATCTGTTGGAGCCGTCACTGCTTTCTGCAGGCCCGCCTTTTCGTAGCGACTTGTGTCAGCTTGTCCTCCCCTAACTGGAAGTGTTTGGTCAGGGTTCCTCTCCATTTGGATCGTATGGCTGCTAGGATCTCCCAGGACTTGAGGTCCACAGCTTTCAGGTCGCGCCTCACAACATCGCGTACCGCAGCTGTTCCGCCAGGCGGGTCTCCTTCCAGAGGTCAGCTCTCCATATAGGAAGTCTTGGGAATGCGGCCGTCTGGCATGCGGTGGACGTGGTCTAACCAACGGAGTCTGCGCTGTCTGAGCAGTGTGAACATGCTGGGCAGACCTGCACGAGACAGGACCACAGTGTTGAGAACATTGTCTTGTCGCGCTATTCCTAAGATGTGGCGTACATGGTTCAAGCCTCGCTGCCATATAGCAGTGTCTTGATGGCACAGGCGTTGTAAAACTGCCTTTTTAGTCTTCACCGTCAGCTTGGGATTGGTCCATACACTTATTAAACAGAGTTTATTCGAATTCCATATTGTTTTTTGTTATTTTCATCTTAATATTAGGATGTAGACATTTATGTAAGTGTTTATATTAGGTTTAGACTACCATTCGTTTTTATTAAGTGACGCAAGAACAAGAAAAACTATCAGTTCAAAGATCACGAAATATAAGCGTATATTACGAGCAATTTTACTTATTCTAGAGATTCTGTTTATTTTTAACCAACACTGGGAGAAACATGGATACCTGATCCCTTTTTAACGAGTTCATGTCAACTTGTTTGTAGACTGGGACAATCGCATGACTTACTAATTAATCAAAGCAGTTGTTGATCAAAATAGCAAAAGTGGGTATAAAAAGACTCGGGATATACAAAGGATTGCAAAAGTAGGTATACAGTAAGTATTATACCAGTATCAAAATAGTGGTTCTAAGATTCATTTAAGGCTAGAATTCATTTAATTCATTAAAATTATTTTTAATATCTTTATATTCATAATTTTTAATATAATACATTTATTATTTTGACGTGCTGAGTGTGAACAGCTTAAACATTTGAGGATTAGTATGTATATTAGTGATATATTAGCATTAATATGTTTCAGTAATTAATATATATATATATATATATATATATATATATATATATATATATATATATATATATATATATATATATATATATATATATATATATATATATATATATATATATATATATATATATATATATATATATATATATATATATATATATATATATATATATATATATATATAAATTTAAATAAAAAAGAAAGAACAGTAAGAGAAACCATATTTCAAATCAGTTAATTTATAATATATATATATATATATATATATATATATATATACACACACACACACACACATATATATATATATATATATATATATATATATATATATATATATATATATATATATAGGTGTCCCAAAACAATTTGACAACGTTTCATAGGCCAATAATTTTGGCAATTCTTGTTGAAATAACCTCAATTTTTCACAGAATGTATAGAAATATATCAAGATTTTATATTTAATGAACTCATCAATTTTTCCGTCAATACCTAACGATTGCATAGAGCATGAAATTTCTACCCGGTCTTTCGAACGCAGGGGGCTGCAAAAGTAGGTATACAGTAAATATTATCCCAGTATTATATTAAAGTTTCTAGAATTCATTTAATACTAAAATTCATTTAATTCAGTAAAATCATTTTTAATATCTATATTTATAATTTTTAATATAATTTTTATTTTTTAATAAATAATAATAATGATAAATGTTTTTCAGGTAAATAGAAATGTGTGAATGAGGAGAATAAACCTTTTGAACATTTTAGGGATGAATATGTTATTATTGATATATTTGTATAATCAATACAACACGTCTTGTACACACTCTTTGTTTTTCATTACTGTATACCTACTTTTACATTTAGACTAGGCTATTTTACACATAATTTACCCTGATGGCTCCAACTTGACATGCTACGGTAAACCGATTCAGCTGGCGAGCTAAACTCATGTGAGGGTGGGGTCTAAACATGTCACCACAAGGCGAAAGGACTACCTCGAGGCACGTCACCGGCCAGGGTGGAAGCGTTCCACAGCTGAACAACAACGGCCACGTTTTCGCGACCGAGGCGAGTCATCTAGACGGACATCGGCTGTGATCTAACCGGGTGAGAGATGGGCCTCGCCAGTTTAAAACATCGAAGACACGCCACTTGATGAGTACACCGAAAAACCATTCGCGGATACTCAGGCTCTGGCACACGACTGCGACTGATGATGGAGAATGATGAACAGCTCAGCACGTAGGGCCCCCACCCAACGACTCATTCTGGCGAAAGAAGAAGACGAAGAAGAATTTTACAAGTCTTTATGAAGTAATCTGATCCCTTTCATATCCAAGGGATTATTCTGTACGATAGTAAACTATATTTGGATATATTCAAGGAAGAGTGTTAATATAGCGGCCATTTTCAAATAATATATATGTTTTCTAAGTAAATATATATTACAAGAAAGAAAGGACAACTCTAAATAAGATGGTGAGATTATATTTCCCTTACTTATGTCAAACTTATCTTTTTAATTGAATCGTGTATAAAATAAAACTTCTTACTCGGTTAAGAATAACGCAGTAATTACTACAATCAAACGGAACAATAAGACATCTTCAGACCTTTCTAAAACCTCGTTACTTGCACACTTTCTCGCTGTGAACAAAATAAAAAAAATGGATATTGTTGTGAACATATAATGGATCATTGCTTACGTTACCAAAAGAAAGAAAGAATAAAGTGCATTTCAAACAAGAACAGTTCGATTGTACTCTTGCCTTGTGCCGGCAAACCAAATAAAAGAAAAAAGCGGACCATCTAATCTCCACCTCAATCTGACAATGATCTGAACTGAGACAAGTTATAAAAAGAAACGCTGGTTCCTTGAACGGAAATAACGTTAACAAAGAACTAAAACATGAAAGTATTATCCCGAAAAATAAAAACCAAATAAATAGCAGTAATAACAGCAGTTTAACGCTTTCTTTCCCAATAGGGGGCACATTACATTCTAATGACATTATTGTTGCAGTTAAAAAAATGTTGGTGATAGAAAGTGCAATCTTGATTTGATTGATTAGTTTTTTACGACTTATCAACCTTTTTCTAGGTCATTTAAAGCCGAAGCATATTTTTGGGATTGTAAGAATAATTCATTTGTTTTTGATAATTAATATTGTATAAACAATTTTGGGGGTAATAATAATACAAATCTTACTATTCAACCCATAGATGGATTCATACTTTATCCAGGAGCGTAAGTGAATGTAAGAACCTGACCGGAATTCGAACTCTGCTCTCCGACTTCCCATTCCAAGACGTTATCCATTAAACCAAATTCACACGCAAGCTTGCAACAACTGGCATACCCAAGTGGTCAGCCATCTTGATAATGACCATGCTCGACGTTGCTTAACTTCCGTGATTGTACGAGAACCGGTGTTTCAACGTGATATGGCCGTAAACCAAAATGCAATATACTTTAAGAACAATTACTTTGAAAATCTATAGATTTTTTTTTATTTCACTACACTCCGACGTCTGCGAAGTTTAAGTTAACATTTTGGGAACACGGCCATTTTTTTAACGATTATTCAACTTACAACTCGTTTATAATAAACATTAAACAGATGCTTTCTGTATTATTTTTCGCTTAAATTATCGAAAATTGCTAAATTTGGTCAAAGGATTTTGCCAGAATGGATAGAGTTAACTTATGAAATCCTCTGTTTTCAATGTTATTAAAGGGGTTATAATACCTGCTAAAGAATGAAATAAAATGCTATATTTTGTAAAGTAACTGGCCTCTGTTAAATATAAATTGGCAGAAATGGTCAAGAAACAAAATTTGTCATAAACAACAAGAGAAAAAACAGAGATGAACAGATCAAAAAATAATATTGAGTAACCAATATATGCAAGTCGAAACAACAGCAATAAGGCGAACCAACAACAGCAATAAGGCGAACCAACAACAATAAGGCAAAACAACAATATTCAGAAACTAAGAAATTGTGTCAACACACAAAAGGGGATACAGACAAGCGATCACAGCGTTTTGAATTCAAGACAAGGAAAACATATCTAAGACTGATGAGACCGAGAATTGGCCTATGTTATTGGCTAGGAAGAAATCCCAACATGCATCTGCGTATTTTGTTTATAAATTTGGAAAGGGGTCGTTATTAAAGTCATTCCCACTTTGGTACCAACATTTTTAAAGAAACAAAATGGTACATTAGTTAAAATAAACCCCGGTCTTTTGAACAGTTGACGCCTATTCCTCGTTTCCTGCTTAGAATTGGGCTTCCGGTTTCTTATGAATCCTTTTTCTTCTCTCTCACTTCCGGTGACCCCTTGCGACTTGGTGGCATTATCTGTTTGATTGAGTGGTGCCTCTTTGTCTGTAACCCTCTACCTCGAGTACCTCTTAGACCTTGTACAGGGTAAAAATCCTTGTAAAAAGGCAAATAAATAAATAAATAACCCGGTTACATTAGTGTGGCTTATATTATTCTAAATTTTTACAATGTCTCCCTATTGAGGTCATAAGTTCGTTCTCCCTTTGTAAAATCTCTTTTCCGTTTTATACGAGATTTTTAACCTCTTTTAAGATGACTTCATAAACCAACATCACTCTTGCAAACTATCTTCTTTTGTTCTGACCATCTCTTTACACCCATGTAACAGTCAATAATGAAGTTATCACCTCCAAAGATCATTGGAAACAACTGTATTATTTTTCATTAATGAATTCTCTTTCATTTGTTGTCTTTCTTTTTAATCTTTTTTTTGTTCTTTGAATATCATTATTGATTTTAGCTAATTTTATATCAAAAGCCAAAATGATGCTATATTGTATTTCTTCAATATGAATGTGTTTCATATTTCCTTCTTTGTCGCTTGTGTTTAATGAAATAAGTAATACGAATCTTGTAACCAAATTAACCTGAATTAGTTTCATTGGTGATTTCCCTTCATTGAAATTGTAACAATCATTTTTATCGTAATCTGTTTATTATTGTTTTCTCTTTTCTTTACTTCGATGTTTCTCTGCTATTTTCTAGTGTCATTATTAAATGTTTATCGTATATTGTCCAATCGTTTATTTGTGACATGACTGTTGCTACTGCTATTATTATTATTATTATTATTATTATTATTATTATTATTATTATTATTATGAGACGCCTTATAATGTTTCTATCTGTAGATAAATGCATTGTTACTTTGGAAGTTTCTGTAGCAGAATGTGAAATCGACGAGCCAAGTTCAAATCCGGCTCTTGTACAGTATTCCCTTTCATGTTAGGTCCATTTAGAAAGGCATGAATCTATCAATTCCCTCACCAGCTATGGGATTTTAGCCTTACGTTGTAGCCAGTCTAAAATGGTGTATTCAAAACTCCGAAAAAATGCAATCTGTCGTAAGCCATAAAGTGATATGTCATTAAAAAACATGATGGCCTTACCAAACCTATTCACTCACCTTCTGAGCATGTTTTCAGTGCCTTCTACTAAAAAACAAACTTTCTATGACATCTTTTTGTTTATAGATGCATCTGGAGGCGTAGCCATTTTAAAAGTGAATTATGGGTAGGCAAAGCAAAGATAATCCCGCAAATTTCCTCTTTGATGTCTAGACAAATTATCGTCCTTTTGTCTTAATGGCTTCCTTGTTTTTTTTTTGTTTGTTTTTTTTTTGTTTTTTGTGGGGAAACGATACAAAAAGCAGTACGGCTTCAAATCGAAAATATCGTTTATACCAGTGTCGATTTACTCTGACTTAAAGAAAGTGCTTTAACCTAGAAAAGGTTACTGAATAAGAATAACCCAAACGAAGGTTGGAAATGGAAAGGTAATCTTTATAAATTTAACAACATACAAGATTCGCCAGCGGCCTGTAGTAAGTAATCCACTGCTGGTGGTGAAAATATTTCTTTGTATAATGATAGAAAATGTGGCGCAAGGCCAAAAAAAGAGAATGGTAAAAAGACGGTTTTCTTATGTCTTAACTTTAAACACTGACCGAAACATACAACAAAATTCCTTAGATCAAAACAACGCATTCTTACTTACCTTTCTTACTACCATAATACCTCATAGTGTCTATGAAAATCCTAACTAGTCCCCTTTTTGTGCAATTCATTGTCTGTTGGGGGGAGGGGAATAAAACAACAAATTTAAAAATTTAACCCCAATGAATATTTACAAAAATAAACAAAAATTGTATACAAGAAACTAAACAAAATAGTCTTAGTAAACCCCCCTCCACAATCCCTAACTGTGGCAGAAACATCAGTTCATTGAACGAAATCAATGCGAGACTTTAATAATATAAGACATTCAATCATCCCAAGCACTCACTCAACTACAACAACAAATACGAAAATCACAAGCGAAATGAAAGGAACCCCGCATCTACCAGAGAACTAACATCACTGATCACCTAACAGACAGTATATTCCACTGTATTAATGAGAATTGGGACATGCCCATTATAGTCCGATATAAAAGAAAGTTACTTATTAATTAGGATTTAATTCTTTTTTACGTATATGACTTATCTGAAGCTGAAAGATATTTGGATTGTAATATTTTTTGCGAGAGAATAATGGATAAACGATTTTTTGAGAATAATAATGATATTTTTCCACATACAAGTCCTACTATTTAACCTTATATTCTTTTTAACTGAAACATAGGCGTTTGTGAAAGACAGTCCTGTTTTTAAACAGTGAAATTAAGATCTACCGGCCTAGATACCAAAAGGCTTAATAAAGAAAAAATGCCTGTCGATAAGAAACGAACCTGTATCCAATGTTTAACTGATTTATCATTAAGCTACGGTAAACTATTATAGCAAAGCAAGGTTCGATTACCAAAATTAAGAAATTCATCTCTCTCGTTAGGACATTTCGAAGTCTATATCTGCTGACTTTATTTTCCTACCCAAAACGTAAAGAACGGAATTTGAAGCAATTTATATTTATTATTTTTAAATCTGATACTATTTATTTAACCCAGAGCTGGATGGAGATGAATTCAAACCTTTCCCAATGTATTTGCATGTCAGTGGATGTAACTAATCCGACTGGAATTCGAACACGGCTCTCCGATTTCTCAACCTGTGCCTTTATCCATGAAGCATATAAATTAGAAAGTTTTATTACGTTAATTTGTCTTTCTTAATCAATTATAATGTTTTTTCGTCATCCGAATACATTATTCTATTCTTCAATCAATATAAACAATTACTAAATGAGGCTATCAAATTTTTATCTAGTTTACTAAGTAGAGGCCAACATCGAAGTGTTGCCATCTTGTTTGTCTATAGTTTCATACTTTGCATTTGAAATTTATTTTATTTTATTTTATTTTATTTTTTATTTTTGCTTGCAGTTGTATGCAGTGAACCACCAACTGTACCAAACGCTTATCACAACGCGCCAAAGCAACAGGTCAAGTTCCCGGCCGGCACAGAATTAATGTATACATGCTATGATCCATACACGGCGAACGGCTATGTGCGAGCAATGTGTAAAGGAGATGGAACATGGAGTGGCCCACGAATGGCATGTAATAGTAAGTAGCAAGATACTTTTGTACTGGAACTCAACATAAAGCAAACATAAAACATAATATAAGTAAATAGAGTATATATATATATATATATATATATATATATATATATATATATATATATACGATTCAAAAAGTATAATTAATATAAAACTACATGAACAGAGACATGCATATGTGTTTGTAAAGCAATTAATTTTTTTTAATACAAAATTACTTCTTATCATTACAAACGTTACATTTAAGGGACTGACGATTTTGAGAAAGATACCCCTCCTTTTTAAACAGTGAAAGCAACATCTACCGGCCTATAGACCGAAAGCCTTATTAAAGATAAATACCTGTTGACGAGAAACGAACATTGATTCTCCTTTTACCTGAGAAACCACATTCAAACCGGGAATGATTTATCATAAAGCTACGGGAAGCCATTAGAGCAAGCCAAGGTTCAATTACACTACTTCAGAAATGTATATATCTTGTGGGGACAGTTCGATGTCTCTACCTTATATATATATATATATATATATATATATATATATATATATATATATATATATATTGTAGAGATTAAAATAAAAACATATTAAAATCGTTATACATTAAATTAAATGTTACGGACAGTATAATTATACTTCATTTGTTCTCATCTTAACTATATATATATATATATATATATATATATATATATATATATTATTTCCGTAGCCGAAATGTAAACAAAGTAATTTTAATTAATGAATCGTTTTAAAATGCGGCATCATTTCTTATTACCTGAAATGTAGCTGAGCAGGTGTCTGCAACAGGGATTGTCTAACTGACCTAGTAGACAGGCATATTCGTTTGCACACACACACATATATATATATATATATATATATAT